AAAATTACCAGAATGAAAAATGGGAATGAGACTATGACTTGCCTGGCTTGTACAGATAAGAGAGTATATGAAATATAATGTTATCAGTTTAATCCCTGTTACTTTGGACATTTACCACACTCAAGAGTTCATTAACAGTAAGGTTTCTGTGCTGTAGGTTTTGTACCAGCTAAGTTGCTTAGCAACCTTAACTCCAAGATAATGATGTCTTGCTGCCTGTGATTAAAGAATGATTTTTCCTGTATTCTGTTTATGATATATCCAGCTTACTTATATTCTTGTTTGCAAACTCTTTTCCTCATTTTTCATTCCAAATATAGTGCGGCATATGTACGTTCCTTGAAGCATTTTATCTTTAAAATTCACCACAGTCACCTACTTGAGTGAATGCAAATAGCACAATAGTATTATAGAAAACCCACACTGCACAGTAATGCAAAGAACATAAAATGGAGAAGCAGCCTATAGAACTGCTCCTGATACTGCTGAATAAATCCTTAAAACCTTTTCAGCACAAGTGCATTGCTAATAACCGTGGATAATGCTCTAGTTCTGGGCTTTAATTCTCCTCTTAAATAAATAAATAGAAAACTCTGGGACTTGCCCATATGTGATGCTGAACTTTGGAGCTGGGCCAGAAAAGTGAAAGACTGCACTTTAAGTGGTAGCAGATGCCTCCTGCTAAAGCTGGGAGCTGGATCAATTCCTTTAATAGTATTTATGGAAGTCCTCTGGACCTCAACAATAACAGTGTTCTGAGTTAATATCTGAAGGATGTCACACGTTACAATGGACATGGGGTGACATTATCTATTCAATATATTTCAAATTATTCTGTTAATTCCTGCACAGCTTATCACCATGGTTACTGTGACAGGAAATTAAACAAACAGGAAATTTTTTTTAAATTAATCAATCCTGGAAAAGATTCCAATGGAATCTAGAGTCACAGTTAAGCATTGGAAGCCACAATGAAGAGGACAACTCTTTAGCTAATAAGATAGCCCTGGAAGAGGAGGAGTTCTGTCCTGGAATTTGGTGTCTCTATCAGAAATTACTCTCCATATTGTAGGAAGTGGTGCTTTTGCAGTGGAGACCTAGATGGGAGCTACTGGTGTAAACTGTCTGCTTCCAACAGACTGGAATGAAATCAATCATACTTCATGGTGTAGAGGTTTGTAACTGATGTATTGGTATGGATGCAATGGGAATACATGTGTGTGACAGCACCAGAACTTACAGCCAAGTGTTCTGAGACCAGGACCTGTCTTGAACTCCCAGGACACCGTACCCAGGAGTAACATTGAGGAATATGCTGTTTAAATCCAAATGACAAAGGAGCACAGCACAGATGCTTCCTCAGTGCAAAGCCCTCCATCCTAAACTCAGGATTCAACAAGTTGCAGCATACTGTGTGTGCCAATCCTTTCCTTTTTCTGGGGAAACAAAAAAAAAAAGGAAAAGTAGACAATGCATAATGAGCTTATCAAAGGCTTATGGAGCTACTGGAGTCCAAAGCAAAGCACTAGCTGCCAGAACTGGTAAATGGATTGTCTTTATGCTTCAGTATAATTTCATTCCAAATTCAACTGTCTTCATCTAAGAGATGTGAACAACTCCTGTAGGATGGCATTTACCTACTGTTTTGAAGCATTTTTAACTTGTCAAGTTGCTTGTTCCTGACTCTTCATTTCAACAATTATCATTGCTTAGAAATACAGAAATTCTGATCTGAGTATTTGGAATAAGTTTTTAGTAACTGAACTGGACTGACTTCCACTGCAGTGTTGGGTGTGAGGGTGTTGCAGAAGCAGGAGGGGAAGGGATCTGTAACACACAATGATGTTCATGTCTGCAGTGAATTTATTGTTTCTTTAGGCAATGATGTAAATCTCAGCATTTGTGCAGTGAATTCCTGCTGGATCAGCTGATGCTTCTTGAACATTTTTGTAAAGAATACTTTAAAGAACAGAAGTGTTGCTTCAATAGAAGTTGGAAGTTGTCCCATGTAGGATATAGTTCCTATACATGAAGCATTTGTTTCAAATGTCTGTCTGCCAGGTGGATACCAAATTTGAGATCGTGTTTGATACTTGGTTGGAACTGCAAACTCTGTTCATCCTATAGTTGCCATGGGATCTGAAGCAAATTTAAAAAGTACTCTTCCCAAAGAAATTCATAGAACCAAAATGTAAAACCTTGGTAAGAACAATGTTAAGGCATAACAGGAATACAGTAAGGTGACAAGTTTAGTTCACATTTGCTTTCCTCTGTCTTACACCAAGCATGTTTATACAGGTAAATATTTGGCATCTGGGGATCCCCCTTGAAATCAGACAGCAATTAAAACACTTTACCTTATGCTGAACTAAATATTAGTCTGTACTAAACAAGACAGTGAGAAACATCCAGGAAGCTGTTGACAGACATCCAAGGTGAAGGATCTCATCCACTGATAATTATGAATGAAATGAATAGAATCTGGAGCACCTGATTTTGTAGTGAGATCCCCAGTGGGGAGTTCCCAGTGGTAATCCTGGCTGGCTCTGAGTTGAAGGTGCATTAAATGATAGTGGGTTGCAATGGAAAGTGAATCTGGTATGAATCACCAGAAAACAGCAACTGGGAATCATGCAGTATTTTTAAGGGAAGATCTGTAACCCATATAATTAGTGCACAAAAGAGTTTCACTCCGAGTAAAATTCGTCTAAATTATATCTGATATTTAAGACTCTTGATCAAAACAGAAAGACTCCATTGTGGTAGGTTAAACTATTTTCTATTTCTGAGTTATAGCTAATGCTTTTCCCCAGAAAAACATTTTGACCTTGGTAGCATTTAAAGATGAACCTATAACTTCAACAGCTAAATATAGTTTTCAGTGGTAGTGTAAGAACATCTCAAGTAAAATAGTCAAAACATCTCTCACATTTATACACTCAAAATTCAGGTTTAAAACCTTCATGGGGAATCATATTTAATATTTAGTTAAACATTGCCAATTATCTTTGGAACCACAGAATAAAACAGAACTCTAGTACTTGTCACAAAAAGTGACATGGAACAGCCTATTCCAATATGAATGAAGCTCTGAACATAAGTAATCCTTTCAAAGAATAAAAAGGAAGTACATTAAAGGTTCAGTGGCACTCATTAATATTAGTTATTCCCAACACTGATCACGAAATGTGATCCTCTTAAAACGATCTCAAAGTGGATACTGTCATCTGGATAATTACACGTGACCCCAATTTATGCCAAGATATATGTAAAAGTAAACTACATCTTACTGCTATTCAAATATTTATAAGCTTTCCAGCTGAGTTGTGCTAATTAAAGCTTTATACACTCTCAAAAAATAAAATTTAAAACAGTGCTTTTAGCTTGGCTTTTATAAAATCCTTTCTTTCCCCCTCAAGATGTCACAGAGCAGCACAGCTGCAGTGCCATTGTGTGCAGAAGGCCATCAGCACTGAAGAGTAAATCAGGAGCTACTGTTCCCATTGCATTGAGATTTCCTATGGCTGTTGTTTTGTTGGCATTGAGAGACTCTAAATCAGAATTGAGGGGTTCAAATTGATTTTGAATGTTTCCCAAGGCCTTTAAGAGTAGTTACAGAGAGTGCAGAGCACTGGCCTGAGCACCAGGAGCTGTTATTCCACCCGCTGTGAGCAAACTACAGTACAATTTTTTGGCAAAAGAAGACTCTCAAGTTCTGTTTCTCCTCCCACACTCCCAGAGCAGTAGTTTTAACTTACTGTGACTATTATTTGGTAACATTAATATTAACATCAGGTCAGGGTTAATAACGTTAAAGGAATAAAAAAGATGACCTGGCAGTTAACTTGTAGAGAAAAAATGTCTAGTTCAGGCTTACAGGAAACCTCTGGCGAGAGACAGGACTCCCAAAGCCCTTTGCATAAAGCCAGAGCTGGATTTACACTGAAAGCTGCAGAAACCTAAAGGAAGCCACCAGAAGAAGGGCCAGTAAAACACTGTCAGGTCACTGGTAACCCAGAGCACTTTCTCCACTTGAATCAATGCTTGTGCCAGTGCAAGGAGAGGTTGGCATGGGGTAAGAAAAGGGTCTGAGGTGGAGAGGATTGTTTATTTTGGTACCTATGCATTTCCAACTTAAACTTTATGTGAAACTATAAAGTGGTTGTGTTTGCTGTAAAGGAAATTCTGCCTGAAGACCGAGCAGAAGAGAAAAAAATCCCAAAGAAACATTTTCCTCCATTCTACCTGAAGATGGTAATTCCTCTGGTGGGAAATGTGTTGTTCTGAAGCCTGATTTCTGGGTACAAAGTGTGTGTTTTGGGAGACCTTGTTTCTAAAGAGAGTCCTGTGCATCAGGCAGCAGCTCTTTGTAGGAAGGTGCCCTGAGTACTAAAATCTTTCAATGCACGTCTTACATTCTTATTGAGAGTAATGCTGGATGCTTATTTTTCTCTAATGAGTGAGGAAATGCCACCACAAGTTATTTCTTGAATTCTTCAGTAGATTTTTGTGTTCTGAATGACTGTTAGAGAAGTACAAATTGCTTCTCAAATTCTCAGTCTACCTTCCCTCATCCTCAAATTCTAAATGAGATTTTCACCTATTTTTGCGTGTGATTTTACAGATTAAAACTAAACATTATCTTGCATATTTCTTCCTTTGGTTTTGTTATGTTAAAACCTACAACTACTTTAAGGAGATGCTTATGTCAAGGATTGGTACCTGTAAAGTCTAGTAAGTATATATGTATTTTATTCAGGTATTGCTGTGCTTGTTTTTACCTAAACTGCATTGTAATTGAATGTCACTGGTTTTCAAAAGCTTTATTTCAATATATCTTTCTTTGACATGTATAATACCTTATAGATGTTATATTGTTATATATAATATCTCATAGATATTATATATCTTATCTTTATAGAGCTATTTAACTTATAATAGTCAGACATTGATGTGATACAAATAAATAGCATTTATCATTTGGGTGATCACATTCATATAACTGCATAAAGTGACATTATCTTATTGCAACAATATTGTAAAATGATACATCTCATTATCACAATTAGTGTGAGGTTTACGCTGTGTTTGATATTTGACACTGTCCAGTGTTCACCAGATCATGTATATTGGAAGATATCAGGAAGAGCTGTCAGAGGTGGTCTGGATTTCTTCCTGGTTTATTTTGGGTTTGTTTTTTTTTTCTTCTTTATTTTTTGATCTTCTACCTTTTCTGTTTCCTGTTTTCTGTAATTATTTGTTTCTTCCTGCATTGCTGAGGGAGGACACTTCACCTTGGGAGCAGATTTCTGCCTGTCCTTAAGAGGAGACTCAAAGGAAGAGGGAATACTTCTGAAAGGTTTCATGTGGGGTAAGTACACAGGATACTTTCTGGCCTCCATCTGCTGAGTAGCTCAGAGATTTCTTGATCTGGTTTATAGTGGCTGAATATTTAATAACCCTCTGATTTTATTTTCTATGAAGCTGTTCAGTGTCCCCTAGTGCTCCTGTAAGTTTATGGTACTCACCATACTTTTTAGCAAGTAGTTCCTTAAATCTCCTTCCTCTCTGCTACATGAAAACTTCCATTTGTTTCCAGCATAGCTCCTAATAACTTAATTTGATCCCCCACAGGTTTTGTTTTGGAAGAAGCAATGAATACTTGGTCTCTTTCCAACTTCTCTACACCACTCGTGATTTTGCACATCTTTTTAGTCATCCCTTTTTCAGACTAGAGAAAAAATATGTATTGGGCAAGTTTAAGAAAAAAAACAAAAACAAAGCAATTTTTAAGACTTTGAGAAAACACTACTGCTTATGAAAGTCTCACCATCCATTCTGCAGAATGAAGGGCAGTATTCTGCTTTCCTCCAGGATTAATAGATGGCTGAGATGTCTGATTCTGTTTGTTATGCCTTTATCATCACTCGCAAGGTAAGTATGATGGGGTTTGCAGGCTGTTCTGCAGGCAAACAGAACCACCCAAATAAATTACAGCACCTATCATAGGTAACAGACATTTTGTTCCCTATTTAATAACTTTAATAACAGTGAAACAGCTGTAGTAATAAATAACAAAATAACAGTTAACAGAAACAGACTTTTCAATATTATTATCAATCACAATGGAAGTAACAAAATTCCATCTGCAATCACACAACATCAGCTGGAAATAATCAGAAGAATTCCACTGGCAATGCACTACTTGGAAAAATCCAGCCATTAATTTAGATAAGGGATTTTTATTTCTTTTGGGTACTTCAGGATAGATTAGATCACATCAAGGGAAAAATACCGTGATTCTGGCTTTTGTCCTTTGTAGTAGAAGCAATTGGCTTTCTTTGCCAGGTGGATGAGGCTGGGTGGGATCTGCGGAGATCACAAGGCACAGTTTCCCAGAGCAGGTTGCCCAGGATCCCATCCCATCAGGTTTGGAATACTTCCAAGGATGGAGCCTCCACAACCTCTCTGGGCAACCTGTTCCAGCGATCACCATCACATAAATAAGTATTTTCTTACATTTAGCTGGAGTTTCCTGTGTTTTAATATGCCTCTTGTCCTGCCTGGATCCCCTTGAGAAGAGAGTGGCAGTTTTCTTTGCTGAAGGTCAGACTGAAGTGAAGGCATCGAGTACTTTGCTCCTTTCTGTGTCCTCTGTCATCAGGTCCCCATCCCACTCAGGAGCAGCCCCACATTTTCCCTGGACTTCCTTTTGCTGCTGATTTACTTGTAGAAACCCATCATTTTGCACCTCACATCTCTCAATAATTGAACTCCCCATGGGTCTCAGTTTAAATGTAACAGATGAGTTTAGATTTGGCTAATTGCAAATTAGTCTGGCTCTAGCAGAGGTTTCAAGGCTGAGTTTTACAGATGTTACTTGAAGAACCAGGAGTTTAAGAAAAGTAAAATTCCATTCCCAAACCAACACAACTGTTGCTTTGGACCTCAGTTTTCCAAAATGTTGGAAATCTTATTTTCAAACGAATTCTTACCATCAAAGAAAATCAAACTCTGCTGGCCTTGGTATATCTTTACACTGCATTTAGGAATGGAATGGCCCATATGAAAATGGAAGTAACTTGTTATATTGTTCCAAATGTCTGCCTTTGGTTTTTGCCCTTTTCTATCCTTAAAAGAATGTTTTCCTGAGGAAACAAAATGTCTTTGTTGCTCAGCTTAGCTGGAGCTCATGTAACACAGGTAGCTTCTTAGAATTAGCTAGTGGTTAATATACACGTTGGTAATTATAGATATTTAATTTATTTCTGAGCAGGTGGTAAAAAATATTTTGTCTAGATGGTTCAGTCCTCTAAAAGCACTAGTTTAGAAAATTTCTTTGCCTCACAAATCCCTCTGACACCTTCTACAGCACTGAAAAATCACTATTGATCACAATATAGATCTAAAGTCTGTGTATTTCACAGTTAAAATACACCAAACATTTAAGAGTTTAAGAAATCTTCCTGTTTTTCCTCTGTGACTTTTTCTTCATTTGGATGTACTCACTTCCCCCCACTGAGTCACTGCCTTTGGATCATCAAACAATCTATAATCTGTGTTTTACAGAAAGGTTTTCAAAAAATAATAATCTACTCCCAAATGCAAATGGAGCGAACAATGATGAATTGGGCTCACAGTCAATTAAAAGTTTAAGCAAATGCTCAAACATTTTACCATATGGAAGCACTTCGGAGCAAGAATTCAAAATTAACCCTGTATGGGATTTACATGCTGAACTGGGAAGGCAGGTCATGTGAGCACCCAGAAATCAAGTGTAACACTTGTATTTACTGACTGATCCATTGTCCTGTTCTATGGCAATATTAAGGAAGATGAGACTAGGGAATGCAGTCCTCCACCCTTGATCTGCAGGCAGAGACATTCCCACCCATACACAGGACTTACTTGCACCTTGTAGTCTTTTGATAATGCGCATGAAAAATCTTCTATACCGTATGTGTGAAATGAGGGGCAGAAATGACCTTTTACCACGATTTCCATGGTGACAATCCTCATTTTGATGTCATTAAACTGTTCACTAATATTAGGGACATCTGGAGTGGACATGATGTAACAAGTAAAAGCAGAAGAAAGGGACACTTTGTTGAAGATTGTGCTTTAAATTTTTGAGACACATCTGCTTTAGAAAGGCTTTGCAGTGCCATTGTCTCACAGGGCAAACAGCATGTGGGCAAAGCAGGTACTTACAGCCTGGGCTCTTAACTTGCTGTGAGGAGATGTCTTCCATTCTTAATCTTTGAAATTCATTCAGTGTGTCCTGGATATGAGAAGAAAAGAAACGATGCACCATTTCTTTCAAAACTGTTTTTATTTTGGAAGTATACACACATCTGTGTATTTGTAGGTATCCTACATCATTCACATTAGCAATGACTGAAATAAAATGTCACTCGATTCTCTTCTTTTATCCTTAATATATAGGGCTTAAACAGTCTTGTTATGCTGCTGTGAGCTACTGAGCTGTATTTGCCACATTTGTTAAGACTGACATCCCATAAATAAAAGATCTAAGAATTCAGCTTATCTGCTTTTGAGAGGCACGAATATGTTCACATATTGTATGAGCTAAAGGAATCGGGGCTCCTTTGGTGGAAGAAAACCAGGTTATAATTGGTAGCAGCAAACTGTGTGATCATTAAGAAAATGTACACTGTGTGTGTTGATTTTCAATAAACAGAAGCAATGGCCTATTCTCTGTTTAGCGGAAGACACTTCAATAAGTATTTTAGATATATATATTTTTAAACATTCTGTTTTATTAGTACTAGGAATGTAATAATAACAGATATCAGAACTCCAGTGTTTCCAATGAAATCTCATATTTAATGATATTTAATATTTGTTGGATTTTGCAGAAAACAAAAACTAAAAGGAGAAATGGTTGTTTAGTAAACAATTACATATTCCATTTGTTACTATTAATAATTTTGCACCTGTACTCCTCTTTTTTATTTTATTTTTCCTTAAATTGTTCTCACTGAAGGTGCCTGCTCTTTTCCCAGGCTGATGCATTTGCTTACATGTGCACCCTGATGATTTCACCCAAGTCAGCATTGTTTCTAGAATTAACAAACCTGGAACCAAAGCACATGTCTCAAAAGGTAAGCAAATCTGATAGACTATTTCTAAGTGTAATATCTGACAGAAAAACTGGGATCTACTCTATTGGCATTGACAGGTACAGTGGGAAAGTTGTTTTCCTTAGGGATGATTGTTCTGTCCAATACTAACATTGCTCACACTTTGGTGACATCATTCATTATATATTTTGAGCAGTCTTACATTCCTGATTAAAGTACATAAAAGTTCACTGAAATTCTCAAAAAATTATTGTTTCATTCAGCCCCAGTGCCATGGGCATCACAATCACTTAAATATTTTTTTTCTGAGTGTTTGCTTGATTGTATTTCACATTAGCCTGACCTAATTTACCCACATCTCAAAGGCCATGCCAGGTTTCATTCCCTGTAAGTCAGTATAGCCTCTTGGAGAGCCTGGGGTTACATCCAGATCCAGTGGAAGTAGCTACAGCCTTGTTTTATTACTGCTGGAATTTGACCTATAAGAAAAAACCTTGCTTCCATTTTTATCCTGCTGAAGCCAAGAAACCTAAATTCTGGATTTCCCTATATTTCTTCTAAAACAAACAAGCAAACAAAGAAACTCCAATGAAACACATACACAATTTCCACCCCCCTTCCACCCAGCAAAATACTGTCCATGACTACTGATATAAATCTTGTTCATGCCTTTCACTGTTACTTCCTGTTTGGAGCTATCCTTGATGTACTTTTTTCCCAAAGAAAAGTCTTAAAATCATCTTTTTTATAAAGGGAGAATCTAGAAAGTCTTCCAAGAAGTAAAATTGCAGCATCCTCATTATAATTTCTTCAGAATTTGGATGCTGGTGTTTAGGTAGTTCCCATTTTAGTTTTCTCTTTCAGGGTGTAACTTTTTCAGCTGGAACTTGACATCCCTTCTGAAATGGCATTTGTGACTGCAGTGTTCAACCATCATGAAAGGCACTTTGGTCTGCAGCAGCTGCCCTTTGGGACTGAAAACCTTTTCAAGCTTCTCTAATCCTGCTCAGATGCAGGAACATACCAGGAGAATCCAACAAGACTCTGACATCAGACCAGTTTTGACAGTTTTATACAGTTTACTTACATTAGGAATTTAAAAAAAGGTCAAATGCAAATGTTTTAAACCTGTAGCTCTCCTTGCTGAATCACTGCAGTGCTTCATTTGGATAGCAGGATGTGAACCTGCATGGAGAAGGTGATGACCAATTAAGGATGGAAAGAAAGGCAGAGGCAGGTCTTGTATGAGGCTGGATAATACTCATGAAAAAGTCTGCTGGCAGAGTTATATCAGTAAATGAACCTTTTGGCAAGAATTGGTTCATCAGGCAGAGTCAGCTGTGCTAACAAAGGCAGTTTGATACCAGCCTTGTTGTGTCTATGCTGGAAGGACAGTGGAGGATTAATTAAAAGGAAAAAAAAAAATTCACTAGTGTTTCTAAGTTAAAACTATTTTTGCAGTGAATTTAAATTTAAATTGATTTTTTTGCTAAATTACTACTACTAGGATTTCTGTTTTCTGGTTTTTCATTTCCTCCTTCTGTACATGATTTGCATTCTGCTGGCCTCCTTAATCCATGTTTTAAATGATGTCTATCAAACTATCTCACCTTGGTATTATAATATTGATATGCTTTGGGTTTTTTTGACTTGGCAGTCTTGTTCAAAAATGCACATAATTTGTATTCAGGTAGGACTTTATTTGCATGAAGAAGTTCAAGCACAGCAGCTCCTCTATTTTCCCTGGAATGTTTTTCACATTTGAAACACGTAACCATTCCAGATCAGCTTTTCCATAGCTCGTGTAAGTCTATTAAAATCATATTTGCTCTAGGCAATAAACCAGCCTAAAGCTGAAATACTGACTGTGACCCTTTGGAAGGATGTAAAGAATTTATCAGCAAAAGTGTTGTGTCCCTTGGGCAATGTCACAATTAATTATCCTCGTGCCACTGTAGATCTGACATGTATATTGCCATCAAATGGCCAGGGTGAGCTAAAATGCATCGTGTTCTTCCATATTTCATACAGAAACCATGTTAAAGTTAAGCAGTTAAGTTCTATTGTTATTATAGAAAGGGGAAAACTGTGCAAACTTACTGCAGAGCTCTGCTAAGGCACATGTGGTCATATATTTTATGTTAATCTGGTGTTTTAACTTCTCATAAACACTGTGTGTGTACCTTCTGACACTGTCTTGAGCTCTGTGTTTAACCAGAAAAACAGAAGTAGAACCCACAGGTAAATTACAGCTGATCTGGTGATTGTTTAAGGTGTATTTTTCCTGCTGGATCTGGATACGTGGCTTAGTGTGAGGGGCCTGATAGGGAGTTGTGCTGTCAGGTCCACTTGAACTAACCTCATTACTCCTGGATTCTTCCCCGAGGCACTTTCTACCCCATTTTGTAGAACTAGAGCAACATGAAGAGACTGAACTTTTGCAGACTTGAGTCTATGACATGAACTACTAATTTATGTCTCTTTTTTTTTTGTCTAAGTAGCTGAATTTCCTTGTACAAGGAACTCTCTAAATTGTCCAATTAGCTTGTCAGAAGGAGCATTTTATTATTAAGGACTGAGAAGGTGTATTCTAGGTGGGGGTTTTGTGGTTTTATATCTGTTATGATTAAATAATATCTTTTGGTAACAATCTCACATTACCTAATTCTTACAGTGATGTTAAATGTGGGAGATTATCAGCAAATAAGATGAATGTCAAAACTAGAAATCATCATAAAACTGTTTTGCTGCCTTTACAGAGGCAATCTATAATGATAACATTTTTAAAAGCTGGAATACATATTTTGTACACTGAAAGCTGTTACTATTTCACAAACCACAGAAGTCCTTCATGATGAACACAGCATTTCTTACTGTGCTATTTACCCATCCAGAAAAGTTAACATTGTTTTCAAATGCAACTGAAGCGAGGCCCAAAGAATTAAGTCAATTATTTCATAAATGCTCACTGGTTTCAGATGGATTGTAAATTGATAAACCTTTTTATTACTCCACATGAAAAGCATCAGCACAAAAAAAAGTTCATCTAAAATACACGCAAGTCTCCAGCAGAAAAAGATTAGCAATAAAAAGCTTGTGGAGAGCAGCCTATGATATTACTGCTCAGAGATAAGGACTTCCTTTGATATAGCTTATTTCCAATAAAAACATTGGAATGCAACTGGATTTGGGCATAAAGTGAGATAAGATTTCAAAAATTTACTGCTAAAATAATTGCATCTGGAAGCAAATATTTGATAAGCACTTCTTACATACATCACAGCTGTAGCTTAGCACTTGAAATGGAACTCGTTTAATAAGTGCCATCTTCACAAATCACAATGCTGAGGTATTGATTTGGATACTAAAAATGAGCAGATCCAGAATTAATGACCACTTTACAAAATGTACTTGTACTCAAATATTGTGGGGCAACTCTGGCTGTATGTGGTGAATTTCCATTTCCACCTCACTCCTAGTTTAGGAACCTGGACTGATTCATCAATCTTGGAAGTACTTTGCAGTTTCCTGCCTTATCAGCAGGAAGATACAAGGCAGTATATGCTGTTATATATAACAACAGCCTCTTGCTATTTAATTTTTCCAGTAATAATGACATATTTTACCACAGTAATGATATTATATTTTAAGTTTATTGAAAATTGCAATTTTTAGCCATCACTTGAGAGGACACTTACTGTAAGAAACAGTTTTTAGGACTCAGGACTTAAAAATTAGCTCTCATTTGCTCTACCCATTTCAGCTCCTCTGCGGTCAAGTGTATTCCACTGCCTGGTTCTGTAGTGATGATCAGCTGCCAGAGAGATTACGAGAGACATTTGTGGCTCAGAAAATTACTAGTAAGTCCATCTGTAGCAGGATGTTTGGTTGGGGGAGAGAGAACAATTTCTGTGAGGTGATGGCTGTTCATCAAATTAATTTCTGGGTCCTGGGGACAAATGCCAGGCGATGTATCCCAGTGATGGTCCTGCTCCTCCTGAGCACAGGACACAGGGGCTGGACTTCACTGCTGTGTGAGGTGCAGACCTGACATCTCCGGCAGCTTCTGGTGACAAGTCAATTGGGAACATGCAGCCTTGACATCTGTGGTGGCCAGGGTTGGGCAGCCAAATTGCAAAGTCAGGCAGCTGGAGTGCAGAGGCTTTTTTCTTCAGCACCTTCCCCGCGGAAGCTGCTCTCCAGACTTGTTTGAATTGTCTCTCACTACTCTAGTTATTTATAAAAGCTGTTGGTGTCTCAGAGACCACCATCTGATCTTATTCCTGTCTGCTGTGTCCCCAGATGTCATCTCAGTGTCCAGTTGGAATGGTGACCCTCTGAGTCTCAACAAGCACCACATGTCCCTGCAGGGAGCCCCTGGGAGTAACCAGAACTGCTCATCACTGCGGCACCCGGTGGACAATCCACCCAGGTTCTCCTCTCCTGCTGGGCTCCACAGCATCACTTTGGGCTGCTCCAGACAACACCACACCCTGCCAGAGCCTCTGGAAAGCTGCTTCCCGGGTAGGCACTCGGTGCTCTGGCTCTCAAAGTTCCCTTAACAGGGAATGTGTGGGAATTCTGCCTGTCCACGCTACCTTTAAATAACTGGGTGCATGCAGTTTGGGTGTTAGTAAAAAATATTGGTACTTCAGGCAATTTTTCAAATTTATTAGGAGAAGTAATGGCTCCATTTATAATGGCAGTGCAACACAGTATGTGACTGTGTTGGAGGGACTAAACCTTCATCCTGATAAATTATACAATTATGTTTTGAAATGCATTTACTTGTTTTGAAACATTATTTCTCTGTGGTTTTAAAAAAAAATGTTTTCTGCTTCTGAAAATAAACAAGTGACTGGTAACAGGGTTCATTTTTTATAAAACTGTTTTGTTTCTATTCAAACAGAATGTATTTGGGAGACAAATTTTCTTAATTTGCTAACTAATGATGTCATTCTTTTTTTTTTTTTAGAGATAATTCCAACACCTTAATAACCCTGTAGGATACTTATTAAAATATAAGAGATTAAATTGTAATGAGCTACACTACAGCCCACTTCTTGAAAGAGCTCCCAGGAAGGGATTGCTACAGGGAAAAAGAATAAATTCATTTTCCAACCTATAACAAAAGGCAGCATAGAGTACACAGCGCAGAGCTGTAACATCTACATGAATAACCATAAATTAAGTGGCGTTTTAGCCAGCCAGTTATCCCTCAGACTGCTATGCATGAGCAGGCAGAAAGTCTTCATTTTCCATGGAATGGGTGATTTGGAGACTTTGCTATATATCAGCTTTAACTGTACTACTTCTTGTACATGGATTTGAACTCATTGTCTTAAAGGACATTTTGTATCCACAATAAATAATTCACTCTCAGTCAAAATAAGAAGAATTTTGCAGGGAGTTCAATATGAGCAGAATAGAGCTTCTAATACAATTACTGGCCACCTTGAGAGGGGGAATAAAAACAAACCTGGTTCCTACAGGTCAAGAATTACTTTTGGATTATGGATGACTAATAAAAAGATTTACACAAAGATTTACTCTTTCTGATTTGGGCACATTAAGAAAAGCTATTAACATACTAGCAACTAAAAACACTGTAATGAAGTAAAGCATTAAAGCTAATGGTGATGAATACTATAAAAAAATGAAAGTCAGAATTAAAACATCTTGTAAGAATTGTGATGTAAAACTCCTGCTTTTTTTGTGCATCATATACTATGTCACTGCTACAGTAACATACTATTTACAAAGCAATTAATTCCAATTGATGGGGAGGACATTTTAATTACCAGCATAAAGGCTGAGTATTATTATATATAAAACCATAAAATTATTTTTAATTTTATCTCCTATAGAACCTGAACTCCCAAATTTTGAACTAATTTTTGCCAAGTGATACAACATAATTAAACTGAAAACAGTACACAGAATGTTACGATACCCAGGTGATCAAAGGTAAAGCAGTTCTTTCTATCCCAGTACTGTTCTCCCCTCACACCAAACAAATAATTTAGAACAACTTAGTTGAGAGGAAAGTAGTGAGGTGGATACAGCATGTATTGCATTAAGATGAAAGAAAAAGATAAGGAAAATGTAAATATGATTGTGCAGTGCTGGAAGCATTACAAGAAAAGGAGCAGGAGCATGTGTTGTATTTACAGGGGATAAATGTGCTACTAATGGAAAGAAGAGCAATAAACAACATGAAATGTTAGGTGAGGCAAATAAAATGCAAGAGAAGACAATAGAGTGAAGTAAAATCACCTGGAAAATCACCTGGAAAATAACCATGCCATTGCTTCAGCAAAGTTAAGAGACATCCTCCACCTCAGACCTTTTTTTGGTTGGACTCCAAACAAGTGTAAAGATACAGTTCTTTGCCTAAAAGCCATGGAATCCCACCATGAGATCTGAGGCAACAGGGAGCAGAATGTAGTGCAAGGAAGGTACAGAGTGCGGGGATACCCTTGTTCAGCTTTAGGAATTGTGGTACATCAGTAGATTGAAATGAAATTCCTTGGACTATTTCTTTAAAGCTTAATTCTAGATGAAAGTGTAAGAAGGGTGGTGATAAACTTCAGCAAATCCAGCAGAGGCTGGGACAGGTTCCCTGGCGAGGCTGTGGAGGTGTTCAGCCCCTGCTTTGGACTAGAGATGTCTCGTGGGCCCTCGAGCCACAGTGAGGGATTCCTTCATAAAGCCAAACCAATCAAAATAACTGAATAAAGGAGAGAGATGGAAAAGCAGGCTTGGAAAATTAATTCAGTTATTTCTTGTTATGTATAAACTAAACATATGTTTTGTAGTGGTATAATTCCACTGATTTTGGTGATGCATGATACCTGTTCAAACAAAAATAGTAAGATGTATAACGTTTACATTCAAAATAGCCTCGCTTGTCATCAATGACTGTTTTGTACCAGCTTTCACTGTATGTGATTCTAAAAATTCGACTTGTCTTTCCAATTCTTACACCATTTATCTACTCTCTCTACTCAGTCTTTCAACTCTCAAGCATATCTCTTGGCTTTTTTTTTTTTCCTGTCTGGCTACAAAGTTGTTGTGAAGACAAAACAGAATAACGACAGTGGATGTCCCCTCTGGTGAGATCTAGATTTCCTCAGTGCAGAATGTCTGACCTTCTTTCATTCTTGACACTTGAAAGCTTTCTTTATTAATGTCATTCCAGCCTAATTTTATACAGTCAGCATGTTAGATGTCTTGTAAAAGTACTCCCATCTTTTATTGTTTTTAGCAATCAATTAATTCCCAGCCTGACTAGTCCCAGTTGCTCAGCACTGTACTGGGGATTTGGCACAGCGTGTTGGAATAAATCTCTCGCCTTCTGCCCCTTGCAGTCTCAAAATACAAATCCAAGCATAAATGTAGATGTGTGCAGGGATGAGGGAAGAACCAAAACAAGAAAATGCATCTGTTTGCCTCTTTTTATGGTCAGCCCGCTTGAACCTTTCCAATGCCAGGTTTTTGTTTCCCTGGAAAGAAAAGAAGCAATCATTTAAGGAATTTTATAATTAGGAAATATTTTTACTACTACTGCATTTTTGCTACTATACCATGCTTTGCTCTGCTTGATGTGATCACATTTAATTATCTTCTGTCCTTGCAAAGCCACTTGATGATGTGACTCTGCTGCTGCTGAGAAGGTTGTGCAGAGCCCACTGAGGTCAAGTTCCCATCGGTCACCGAGTATGTCACTGTTACTTTTATGTACTTCAAGCTTGAGCACAGGGTTAAGTCCTGCTTTTTTCTTTTTTTTTTTTTTAACTCTGTTCCTCTGTATTGAGGTCACTTTGACTGTTTCATTCTGTTTGTGCTCTCAATCTCTAATTTTTGCCGAGGACACTGTAAGCTGAGCAGGAATTCCACATTTTCAAGTGCCATACCGAGAAGTAATTTCCTACTTAAAAGTTTTCCACTCTATCAAGTGCTTTGTGGAATACATCTTAGTTCATTCTCATACAGAACAACTGAGACTAAAAGGGATGGCTTCTGTTTCCAGCAGCCACTGGCAGAGGCCTGAAAGGCTTTGTGTGAACCCCACAATCACATCTATAAACACCTGAGGTGTGGCAAACTCCTGGGCACCTGGGACCAGGGAGCCAGTGTGGCATTCCACTCCCTTCTCCACTGAGTCATCTCCAAGGTGGGACACTTGTCTTTTCTCCCTCTTTTCCTCTCTGAGCCAGGAATAGTTCCAGGAGCAGAAGAGAGTTTCAGTCTGGATCAACTGCTGGTTTTTTTAGCTGCTATTTTTATCTCTTCCATATGATGCTGATCCCAGAGAAGAGCCTAAGTTGAACATTCCTATCTTTTTTTCTGTGTCTTCTGCCGCACAGAAAAATTCAGGTCTGTGGGTTCTTCTGGAAACTCTGAAAAGCTCTCTCTCCTTTGCCTTTGCAAACATGGATTTTGACCACAGTAACCACTGCAGTAATTAAAACAAGCATCAGCCTCACAACAGGTACATAATAACATGTAATACTTCTGAACTGTAATTAAGTTTTGGGAAGATGCTCCACTCATTTACATCACCAGACTGAACTGTATTAGGATACCACTATGCTGGAACAGTGTTTTCCAAAATAGTTGACTTAAAATAGGTCTGACTTCAAAGGATCTACAGATTTCTCTTCTAAAAGTTTGCGATGCTCTAACAAAAATAAGACAAGTCTATATCAAAATATTAGAAAATAAGTCTCAATTATCATGAGTCAATAATGTGTATCCATCAGATAATTTGAATAATTGTATCAAATTATTTGTTTTATGTGTTTAATATATTATTTATTTACTATAAAAAAATGACTGTATCTAGATACAAGTATAACCTTAGTGGTTAAACTGAAACACTGTGCATCTGATAACTCATGAAATAGCAGAATCATAGAATCATATCAACAAACATAGCAGCAGTACAGAAACATTGATTCTTCCCTTTGTTTGAATAGTTTATCACATTACTTGATGGACCAAAAGGTATTTCCCTGACAAAATGGATTAAAATCATAAAGCTGTAAGTAACAGGAGTATATTGCCTTTCATCCTCCTCTCCACTCACGCAGTTGGACAAATGGGGCTTGCAGTGACTTGTTTCCTCTTTAGTGCGTTTGCCCGAGGCAACAAACACAAGAAATTGCAGGTAACAGTTTATCAAATGCTTGTAGTCAGTTGACTCCCTCTCCCCCTGTCACTCAGCATCATTTTATTAGCAGAGCCTTGACCCAGGTGTGCCAGGAGCTTGGAAGTTCAGAAGGTGGGATGCAGCTGTCACATGAAAGATGGATGATGTGCATTTTATGTTTTCAATGTGCATTAGAGTATCCGAGAGCGAGCCTGCTAATAAAAGGTGACATCTCACCAAAGATACTGTGGAAGCCTTGGGAGAAGAACTGGGAGCAGTTTCAGCATGTGATAGGAATGGACAGGAGGAGAGACTCCATGGTTCCTGTACAGGGGCTGTAGGTTGGCTTTTTAATTTCCTGCAGTGGAAACGCGCATGGCACAGGGCTTATCAAAATCAACAGGACTGTCCATAGCACACAGTTTGCTACATGGGCAAGGTTTGAGAGAATAATGGCAGTTTAAATACATTTTTATAAATATAAATAATTTTTAAACCTGTTTTAAATTATTATGTTGCTCTGTTATTGTTGTAATAAATCAATTTAGTTTAATGGCTACAGAAATTATACATTTAAAAACGTACCATCACATGCACGAGGAAGGAAGTTTCTCTTAACATGTAAAACTGTCCATAATGTTTTTGGTCTTTTTTTTTAGTGAGATAGAAATTGAGGAAATAATCTAAATATAGATTTGCATTTAAAATTAAAATGCAATTAAAGTTTGCATTTAAATTATCAATAAAATTTATATTTATAATATGAAAATTGAAAATATTTAAACGCTTTTAAGACATCTTAATTTCATCTTTACCTTTTTCACTGTATTCAAGGAATAATTGAATAAACAGTGTAAATAACAACTAACAGGTAAATAATGAGAAGAGCTGCTTGCTGTCATTTTCATATAAATGTTATTCTTATTAAATATCAAGGCTTTTCTCACAAAATTGCTCCATTTTGCTGTTTGTCGTCCACAAATGCTGGCCCTGACCCTGCACCGTGTTGTGGTTGTGAAGGTGGCACCAGTTTGCCACCTCCAAGTGCTCTTTCCTCTTTGGCACAGAATTTTTCCAATGTTTTTAAGACAATCAAGACCTGGAACCACTGACTTCCATGCCCATCCTCTCCGTTTCTCCAGCAACTGACATTTTGCTCCTTTCCTTAAGATCTGTGTCTCAGACCAGCTCTCTCCTCCCTCTCTCCTGGTGTCCATGTATCCCACACCACAGCTGATCCCCATGGAGCCGCTGCTCGCCCTGTGGCCACCACGTCCCTCCTCCAGGGCCTTGGATCCGCTCAGCTTTGCTCTGCTGTGGGCAGGATCTGCAGTGCCACTGCCTTTATTTTGGTCAGGATGGTTGATAGCTGTGGAAATGCTCCACATAGCTGCCTTAATGCTGGTTTGGTTGGATGATCCAGCAGTTTGGATCAAGCCTCCAGCTCTCCTTTGGTACATTTATTCACTTCTATAGCGTAGTATTTGCTCTCATATTAATTTACATTTCCTATTATATCTCTAATGGGAACTCTTGAACCAGTCATTACTTTATCCATATGTTAAATGTTCATTTTACAACTATTAGTATTCTGCCAGAGTATGTATCTCTTAAATGCTTGGACATTTCCCAGTTCTCCTGTCTTTCTCTGTACAATGTCCCCAGTGTGTTCAGTAGTCCTTGGATGGGCTAAATAAACCCAGCTCATTAGACAAACACAAACTTCCTGCTGGTCCCATTTTCATGCTCATTGTTTCAACAGAACATTTTTAAGCCCTTCTGAGCATTGCTTTAGCCCACCACGTGTACAGCTTTCTCAGAAAATAATCTCCTAGTTTTTGCAGCCTGATTGCTCTTCATCCAAGTACTGAAATGCTGCTTTTTAGGTAAATCTTCCCACCACACGTGATGCTGCTGATCATTTTTTCTGGCTTCAGGCCTCCAGAATCAACAAGTGTAAGAAGTGAAGGACAGGTCGTCCTCATATCAGTCAGTACCATGATTTCTTACTGCTTCAGTGGGATCAATCTATCCCCAGCATCTGAGGTAAAAAAATATAAAATGCATCAATAATTTTCTTGCTGGAAGCTGTAACATTTGAACATTTCTGGTTTTATGTCGAATAAAGTTTTATTCCTGCCTTTTATATTGTCTTCCATTTTGATGCTGGTGTAAACATCAGGCTTCATATTTTTTTTTCCCCTTTATATATGTACATACTTTCTTTAGATACTTTCCAAAATTATGGCTCTTGTAGCTGCTTTTACAAATGAACCTGCAGAATGTGTGCAGATGGCCTCCACAGGAAGAGTTAAGTTCTCTCTCTCTCCCCTTCTAGTCCAATAAACATTGATTTATAGAATGTGGAACAGATCCCACAGGACACTAGAATATTCAGTAGCTTGGTAAATATGCAATGATCTAGGATATGCATTCAAATATTTGTTCCACACCATGGAAGCAAGCATGATTTAAACTATGTTTTGGTTTTTTTTTTTAACCTGTTGGCTCTTCTCTCATTTTTATTATCAAGATGAGAAAATTGTGCTTGGGCTACCAAAGCACATTACTTGGGCAAAGTGAAGAAATCGGGTAAAGATGGAAGATAACAACATCCCCTTGGGGATGATCTAATACTAGTGTTTAAATATGTTTTGTAAAGAGGACTCTTAGTCTTATTTGTTAAAAGATAAACTGAGTGATTCCTTGCATCAATGAGTGGGATAAGACTAATGATTTTACTGTAAGGAATTGTACCAAGATTAATGGTAATAGCAGAGATGCTAATGTCTTTGTTTAGCAGAAATTATGAGAAAAGAAGTCAAAATGTTGCTACGCTGTGCCTCACCTTTCTTTGATACAGGTGAAGCACAAGAGAGTATCACCAAAGTTAGTTCTTGAGCAGGTGCTGCACACCAGACACTCTCTGTATGATTTAGCTGAAATTCCATTTTCCATGCGAACAGAGGTGCACTCTCTGTGATTGACTTCAACCAGATCTCTCTCTCCCATCGCGGACTGTTCTGTCTCAGTGAAGGTCTGTTGGATCATGAGCCCCATGAGGCACTGAGGGCTGTGAGGTGTCCTTTGTCACCCCAGCCCCTCATCACTCCTGCTCCAAGTCAAGTACCTGCTGTGCTCCAGGGCCGAATCCATTCACCTGCACAGGGAAGGGCCTTTCCCTCCACAGGGATGCAACTGAAGCCAAGAGGATCTCTGCAGCTGCAGGGAAGCTTCCATATTTATTTATTTAGTCCATGGAAGTCTGTGTGAAGGAATAAATGACTCGGTTAGGAGAAGGGCAAGTGGCGCGGGGCTGAGATGCCTTCCCTGACCTTTGGTCCCAGGCAGACCTTGGCCTTTGCTGCAGCAGGGGTTGGTGGGAGGGGTAAGAGATCCCAGAGATCCCAGCGACTCACAGAATCAATGAGGTTGGAAGACCTCCAAAATCATCAAGTCCAACCTATGACCGAAAACCACCTTGACAATTAGACCATGGCTCTGAGTGCCAAGTCCAGTCTTTCCTTAAACACTTTCAGGGACCGTGAGTCCACCACCTCTCCGGGCAGCCCATTTCAATGTCTGATCACCCGACGTCCAACCTCAACCTTCCGTGGCACAGCTTGAGACTGTGCCCTCTCGTCCTGTCGCTGGTTGCCTGGGACAAGAGACCGACCCCCACCTGGCTACATCCTCCAGTCAGGGAGTCGTAGAGAGCAATAAGGTCACCCCTGAGGGGGATTAAACACCCCCAGCTCCCTCAGCCGCTCCTCATCGGACTTGTTCTCCAGCCCCTTCACCGGCTCCGCTGCCCTTCTCAGGACACACAGTTGTGTCTCTGGACACACCCGCGGAGCCGCCCGCTCCCGGTAACTTCAGCCCGGCGGCTCCAGCACCTGCGTTTGAACCGGCCGGGGCTGCTGTTCCCTGCGTCCCGGAGGCTCCGGGGCCGCAAGGGCGCGGGGGGATCCTCGGGACTGCGCTGGCGGGCGGGCGGGTCGGGCCGTGCGGGGCAGGTCCCGTCGGGTCCCTGCAGGTGCCGCCGCCGTCGCTCGGCAACAGCCCCGCGGTGCCGGGCACGGCCGGAGCCGCCGCAACCCGGAAGCAGAGGGGCGGAGGGGGCGGGCGGGGGGCGGCGGCGGGGCGGGACGGGGCTGCCCGCCCGCTTCTTCTATCCCTCCCTCCCACCCCGCGGGGACAGCAAGCCCCGCGCAGAGCTGTCGCACCAAGCACCTACCGCGCTGTGGTCCCCCTCCCCACCACCACCACAACACCTCCTTTCTCCCCCGTCCAAATCCTCCGGACCCGGCGCCGCCGCGCTGAGGCTCCTCCTGGCCGGTGCGGGAGGAGGAGGCGGCGGCGGCTGCTGAGCGGCGTGTGCCGGAGCCAACGGGCGGCGGGGAGCGGGGCGGGCGCTGCGGGGGTGTCGGGGTAGAGTGAGGCGTGACCCGGCTGACGGGCACCGTGCGGCGGGCGCGGAGCCGGAGTCGGACCCGGCGGGAGCGGCGGCACCAGCGGCGGCGCGGGGCGTCGGTATCGCTCGGCTCTGGCTCTGGCGCGGCGTCTCCTCCACCCCCTCGTGAGCCTGGGGAACCTGCAGCTCAAAGCCGCCGCCAGCCACACCACCATGTACCCCGGCAACAAGCGGAAAAAGCTCTGGCGGGAGGAGAAAGGTATTATCGCCCTTCCCGGTGCCGGGCCCGCTTCTCCCGCCTTTAACCCCACGCTGAGCCGGGAAGGAGGGGCGGTCCCGGCGCCCTCGGAGCCGCCGCCTCGCCGCGGGGTGTCCGGCAGCGCTTCCCGCGGCTGAGGGCACGGGGGGGGGGGTGTCAGTGCTCTCCGCCCTTGTCCTGGGGTCTCCTGGCTGAAACACCCCAAAATTGCGCACCCCGCCGGCCTCACGGCAGCCCGAGTGTGCGGGAATTGGGGGTGTTCCCCCCAGCTCGGTGGGACCCGTGAGGAGCGGAGCCCCGGGGCTGAGGGGAGCGAGGGCGGGCGGGCGGTAAACAGCCCCTCTCCTGAGGGCTTCCCGCCCCCGAGTCACCTTGCGGGAGCGTTCCAGGCCGGAAAGTTGGGCACATGCCCTCAAAACGTGCCTTTCCTCCTTCTAACGCGTTCTTTTTCCGAGGCAGAATGTGGTTTATCTGAATTGCTGGTGTCCTGTGCTTCAGTTCAGCTTCTAGTGTCTGTCATCCGGGGTGAAGTGTTTGGGGTATGAGGCTGTCAAAGCACAACCCTCTTCCCCGATTCCAGCTATTTACTCCTTTTATATTTTTTAAGGACCTCCACGCGTGTATTCTCAGTTTAAAAATCCCCGAAGTCAAACTCCAAAGCATGAACACTGTGGGTCAAGTGTTTGATGCAGACCTCGCTGTTTTGGTACTTTATATCAATCCTGTGGAGAGCAACGTAGAAATTAAGAAAAAAAAATCACCCAGTGGAAGTGTGATATTTATATCTGCTAGGAGGAAAGCTTCTTGCCTGGTGTGTTTACAAATAGTGTAGTAATACACGAGAAGAGGATGAAAAAAATACCAGAGGTTCATATTTTAAGTTCTCTTTCTTTTCTTCCGTCACCCCTGTGACTCTGTGTGTGTTTCAAGCTAAGAAGGCAGAAGACCAGTGCAATGGATAGGATTCATCCTTCTTGTCTGTGGCGGAAATCAAGTCTACATTCGTAAGGAAAAATTGTTAAAACAAAAATGAACTGATCTCTCTGCAGGTTAACTGCTCCTGTCAAACTCTTCTCGGATGAAGTGACTTTTGTTCCACGTTCTTTTTCTTTCAAAACTGTCTTGCAGTCCATGTTTCTGTAGTAAAAAGTAAGGCAACAAATTTCCACCAGAGAAAAGTTTCAGTTTTCAACAAAGATACAGGTAAATCTTCTGAGGCATTGTTTATGTGGGGTCAGCTATAACTGACTTTCCTTTAATGCTGCATGGTGCTACCTTCAAAAAACGCTGGTTTTGTGCCGGGGGACAGATGGGGAGAGGTTTCTGGTAGGCTCTGGTGAGTGTTCCCATTACTCCCACTTGTCTCTTCCAGCTCTGCTGCTGTCTGTGTCAGTTCATAGCCTGGCAAGTAAACCCAGACCCTTGGTGAGGAGGGCTGAGTGGAGAGGCTGGAAGGTAAGCTGGAAACTGGAGCTGCTGACACGCTTTCCTTGTCTCAGATAGCTGTGAGGATGGTGGTCTCCATCAGGTGATGTTTAGGGATGCAAACCAGAGCTCCCCACTGCTGGTGAGGTTTTCGCCTCCAGGAGGCATTGTCTGAGTGCTGGCTGGCCAGAACTCACTGTGTCTTTGCCTAGTGTGAATGAACAGTGTTTGCCAGTCTTCTGTTCCAGTAATTGCTTTCCAGCACGATGCTGATGGTGCTGGGCCTGGATATTTGAGTGAAGAGGGCAGAAAAAAGTTCGCTGTTCACTGCTGGCATTGGTCTTCAGCTTGTAGCCCTGTGGGACTTGCCAAGTACCTTCTTTACTAGGGAGGAAAATTAGAGAAGGCCAACTTCTTTCCTTCCTCCCCAGACTGTACTTTGGAAATCAAATCTTTGGTTAGGACTGCCTTTACCTCTCACAGGTACTCCTGAACCCCTGCAAAGCTGTCTGTGCTTGCTGGTTCTGCTCTTCCCATGAAGCTCTGAGTGCAGTTGCTCTCAGCGTTTTATATTCTGAAGCACCTCTTGAAAAGAAAAAAGCACCAATTGCTAAATATTGAGTTCAAACCCACTGACAATACACTTGCTTGTCTTAATTACTTTCTTGGTAATTAAGGGTTGGTCCACATCCTCCCAGGGGAGGTCTTGCTTGAGGACAGCTGGAACGGAGCGGGAGCAGGACTGGAGTTGATTTCAGAGCCTTAGACACAGGACTGGGCTGCCTGCAAACTTCCCAAGTTTCTGCTGCAGGCAGAAAACTGCACTTGCAGCGAAGGCTGTCGGGAGCATCTTCCGGGAGGTTTGTGTATAATTAAGTCTCGGTTTAAGTTCTTGCTGCTGACTCACGGGAGCAAAGTTCTATAAAACCTTTCTGTAGAGAGGAACTTGTGTTTTGAAGGCGCAGGACTGGCTCTATCACCTCTTCAGCAAAAGGCACCCAGAACTGCTCTGCTTGTCTGTCCCTCAAACCTGACACACGGAGGCACTCGCTCTCTCGGGTCTGCCTTCCTGTAGCACTTCTAATGTTGACGTCAAATCCTTGGAGTTTTTTATGCTTGAAGCTCAGGTAACGGATTTAAGTGCATATCTGTTGTGCATGGTGGTGACCCTGGTCACATCAGTTCTACTTTGGCAGATGTAAATATCCAGTTAAGGCATACCCAGCCTGCATAACAGAGAGAAATGTTTTTGTCAGCTGAATAAATTGGTAATGCTGTCGAAAACAGCAAAGTGAACTTATTTTGTTAAGGGAGCCTGTGCTCCAAAGTTGCCTTTGGTTATTAGACTGTGCTGACTGCAGCCTCCATAATTAGGAAACTTTATTTAAAAAAATAAAACCACCACAACCAAAAACTCCACAGTGCAAGTGATTTTTCTTTCTTATTTTTTTACTATTTCATCTGAGAAGCAGTTTTGGTGTCCAACTCTTTTGCCGTCTCTTCTACTTGAGAAGAAAATGTTCTTTTCAAGTCCATCTAGTCCTTTATGACAAAGGCAAACAACATGGGCTTAGCCTTCCCCTCCACTCCTTAAAACTCTTGAGTCTTCAAAGAGGATTTATTACTGATTAAAGTGTTAAAAAAACTGTTAGTGTGGTTGTAGTAGTAATAGTGCCACTTGTAAAAACAGATCAGAAGCTTCAGTAGCATATGGCTGTTATGGTGTGCTCTACTGTTTGGGTTTTTTTTTTCCCCCCTCTCCTTTTGGGAGGAGAAAAGCTCTGCAACTTGTGCTGAGCTAATACTGATCATTGATGTAGGGAGGGAGATGAGGATGTGGCTGCAAAAATCAGCTCAAGTGCTGGGTCACGAGGGTATTTGCAGTGTTTGGTCACTGGGGTGTTTTTTTTCCTTGCTGTACAACGTCCATTTATAGAAAGGTCTGAAGAAGAGTGAAGCTGGCAGTAGCCATTGTAGTTGTACACTCTTTGAGGCTTTACCTTTCACTAAATGTCTGAAAAAAGAGATAATGACTTTCTCAGGAGGAAACAAAAACAACCATCCGTTTGTGTTTTAGTGTGGTAACAAGTGTGTCCTATTAATATTCAAACGAAAGTCTCTGCAGAGACTAAATGTGCCTTTCTTACTACCTAGAAGGTAACAGAATGTTTGCTCCCGTGGCATTTCAGTGCACCAGGGGCACTGCACTGCTCACTGCTTGGCTCATGTGGAAGTTTGCACAACTTTTTTCATGTCTCTTCCCCCCACCCAAACAGAGCGTCTGCTGAAGATGACCTTGGAAGAAAGACGCAAGGAGTACTCGGGGGACTACGTTGCATTGAAAACTATTCCAACGTGGATGGAAGACTTAAAAAGCAAGAGTGAAAGTGATGGTAAGTAAAATGGGGGAGTCTTGAAATATAGACCACTCTCTTCGTTCAGTCTGAAGTTACTTTTGGGAAGGCCAAGACTTAGAACCCATGTTAGGAGCAGTGACAGTCTAAAATGAGGGCTGGGAGAAGGAAAAAGCAACAAAATTTCGTAAGGGCTCACTGGTGTCCCCTAACTCTGCAGGCATCCCCGGGTAGAGTCAATAACCCTTAAGTGTGTAAAATAGCTGTTCTCTGCAGGAGTCTTACTTTCCAGATACTCCAGCAGTCAGCTGTGCCTAAGGAGCTTTGTCTTTGCAACTTAGTGAGCATAATGATCTGGGGAATCTGGGTAAAACAATGTTGTAGGTGACTGAAAAGCAGAGGGGAAGCGCACAAGTGGTGTTGTTTTGTAGAAGTCCAGAAATTGGAGGAGATTGGGTTTGAAGCCTGTCTTACTTTTGGTGCTGCCTGCTTTCTTAGGCTGAGGAACATCAGCCTGGCCTGGATTAACTCCCACTCTCTTAGTGTGTGCAGCCTTATCGTGGTTGTGATCAGCAGGAGAGTTGTCTAAATACTTGCAGTGAGGAGTGACCAGAAATGAGAATCCTATTCCCTTAGAGAGTTCTGTCCTCTGTAAGTAATTCTGAAATAGTGCCTTGTTCTTTGTCTACTTCCCTTTCATCCACACAAGGACGTGGAAGAATAGGGATGACTTCTGAGCTGGTTACCTCCTCCTCTTTTCTTTCTGTGCCTTGTTATCCTATTTGGCTGAAGCCTGTGGTTTTTTTGGAGGAGCATTTAACTAGGAGACCTAAAGTGTTTCCTGCTTCTGCAGATATAGGACTGGTTTTCAGACCTTTTTGTTACCACTAAGAGCAAAGACTGGCCTGTGAACAGGTGTGTAGAGTTGTCTTGTGGCTGTAGGTGAACATGGTCTTTATGGTAAATAATCCAGGTGACATGAGGCCTGAAGCTAATCAGCTGTTTTTAATAAAATGGGAAGGCTGTAGCACTTATTTTAGCACAATCTGGGGGAGCTGACAGATCTGCAGATGTCCTTGTCATAAACAGCTAAAGCTCTTGTCTGCTCCTAAAAGCACCTGGAATGACTTTTGCAGTGAAAATATGTCAGAGGTTGCTGAGCTCTTCAGCGCTGCTGAGTAGCTGAGTTACATCAGTACCTGTAGACCTCTTTCTCCCTTTTATATCTTACAGCATCAGGAAGCCTGTCCATCTAGAAATCAGAGGCTGCATAAAAATAAAAACTATTACCTGACTTCCTCTGAGTTCATTTAGAGGCCTGTGGTATGTGGAATATGCAGTATGTCATGGGGTTTAACTGGGAGACTCTTTATCCCTACCAGCCCAAACTATGTTTTCATTGCAGCTACTCTCACATTCCCTATAAAGTACTGAAATTCTCAGGTCTTGTATTACTTGGGCTGCTGAAGGTGACAAGGTGTGGATTTATGTTGTGATTGGTGTTAGACTTCACAGAAGCAAAATGTCCCTGTCTAATATGTGGATATTGAATCATGGCAGTGGTGAATTTATTTTCTTGTAGCCGCTCTTGCCTTCTCTCTGTTAGTACTCAGTGCACTGCAAAAATAATGCTGGAAGGCAAAAGTTGTGCTGAAACACTTCTCTGCTACTGGAAGCTTTTGTTATACTGTACATTCAGGAGGAAATAGCTGTAGTCACTTGTTGTCTTTGATATATTTGTTGTAAATAAGCCATGTGGAATAGTGAACTTCTGGAAGGCTGGGCTGCTGAAATGCTTCCACATGCCAACTGATCAATACAATTAGAAGAAATATATGTATTAATGTGACTCTTATTGCATGTGTTTCAACCTTCCCTTAAACATTGACTCCACTTGAAGGTATTGAGAGTTTGCAAGAACTATTTTTTTGAGCTGAAATACGGAAAAACTAGAATTTCAATCTTGCTGATGGGGACTTCTGCTCTGTGTACTGGGACATACAGAGGGCAACAGGTACAGCCTGAGGCTCTGGAGAGAAGTGAGGCCCCAGGTGTGATGCAATTGGTGATGACTTGACAGTGCCATGCCCAACTTCTCATATTTTCTTTTATTGAAATGTAGCTGCTTGTACTGACAAACTGAAGAAGAGGAAAAAAATAAAATCCTCTGTATTACTTGTCAGGCCAAAAGAGCAACTGATGGGAAATGCGGAAAAAATTCTTTACCATTTACTTCCAAACAGTGAAAAAATGACAGATTGATTAGTAAAGCATGGAGAGGCTGCTCGGGAAGAGTGATGAGGAGAAATCAAGAAAGCAACCAAGAACAAATCAAGTGAAGCAGGAGCAATCAATCAGCTGCCGTAGTAAGAAGCTGCAGGAGAAAGGCAGAGCATCTGGGCTGGCAACAGTCCCTGTAGATACTCAGTACTCAACTGGAGATTAAGACTGTTCAGTACGGCACAGATTTGTGTGCTGGCTGTTAGGAACAGCATAAAACCTTCATGGTGCCCATTTTTAAATGTGAACGACTTGCTGGGGGGTGTTGGGAGATTCCAGGTAGGCACATGTTTTTGTCATGTGGAAGTTTAACAGAAGATTATTGTAAAGTCTGTGTGTGGAACTTCTCAAACTGAAATGACTTAAAAGGTTCATGTTGGGAAGGAACCAACCTCACTGCTCTTTGTTAACATGTTTGGAGAACATACCGTAGTTTGTGGAAGAAGGGTTTTTCCTCTTCCTTCCTCCTTCACCTTTTGATAGAAAGTTGTGTTCAGAACTAAATTCTGAAGAAAACTAGTAAAACTTGGAGTAAGTTTGTGTTTTGGCAAGGCTGGAGGTCTTTGTAACTGAGTAACAGGGGGATGTGTAACTCTGTAAAGCTTTCTGAGGAGCAGAGTTGGGGAGTTTTGAATGGCAGCTGACAAAGGCTTTGTCTCTTCTTATAGCAGCAAAGGTGTTTGAAAGCATTTGGGAGTTGAAAGCAGCAGTGTCTGTGTTAAAATGCTCTTCTGTGACTAAAATAAACCCCCACATTGTTTTGCAGGTCTCCTCATATGGACAGAAGTAGCTGTAAGAACTTAAGTTGGTGTATGTTTTGGCGTGGAATTCAGTCCATGTTTGTGTTGATTCTTCCTTATGATAGGAGAGTTGTGCAATGTGGAATGCAGAGACTAAGCCTGGTGCCCACTGCTCTGGGCTGAGGGAAGCAAGCTGGTGTGGGTATTTCTAGAAGGACTGTGCTGTCGGGATCCTGGATTTTTGGTTTGCCAGGAGACACAAGTGAATCTCAGAGATCAACTGTTGTAACACAGCAGTGGAAGGAAAAGGGAGACTTAGTGAAAAGTGGCCCTCTTTAATGTCACAGGGGATGGTAGGAAGGCAAAATTTTTGTTCTTTATGTTCTGTAAACATAAGCTTTCTTTGTTTTAACTGCATTTATTAAAGAAATAAGCAGTTACCCTCTTTGCAAACAAAGAATGAGCTTGTAGAGGGCTGGATAGTATGAATATACTGAAATCCATTATTCTTCCCACTTCTTATCCTTCAGATACACCAAATGCAGGCATCTCATCTGTTTTCTTATGTACTTTGAAGCAGAGTCCCTTCCTGACAACATGTGAATAATGGACTTGTTTTCTGAAGCTTTGGAATTTATATCCTGTTGTTTCAATGATATTTATTACCCACCACTTTGTGCTGGGCACTCATCCTGTACAGCAACAGGAGCTAATGTTGCTCAGTGACTAAAACACCACCATGTAGACTCAGGGCTAGAGTGGTTTTAGAAGTTAAATACATATGTTAGCTTTTTGTTGGGTACACAGTAATTGCCAAAGATTCTCTGCAGAGATGACTTCAGAAAACTTTTTCTTGAAAGCTTTTGGAGAAAATCAGGGTCTTGGTAATTTTGTTTTCGCTGAGTCTTGTGTGCCACTTGTAGAAAAACATTTTGTTGCATTAATTGGGCAATTCAGAAAATGGAATAAATTTTGTATAGTTGAACTCCAGGCAGCTGAGGGTCCTGCTGACTCTCACAGCCTCTGGAATTCATTGGTATGGCAGTGTTGCCAAGAAAACAGCAAATTCAGGTGGCGGTTTAAAGATCTTTGCTAATGGTAAGACCTGATTTTGATTGAATGAAGTTAAAAGGGAAGGACACAGTAACTAAGTTTTTAATTTTTGTTTAAGATGTAATGACATAAAAAGTCTGCAGTCTCCTTTTTTTAAGCAAGTCTTGAAATATGTTTAGATGTTTTGGCAGCTTCTGTATCTTTTTAATCTGCTATTTTTTAAGAAAATGATATGGTTCAAAGTGTATTCAAATTAATCTACTTTAACACTGAGGGGTTTATGTATAATAATTTGGTTTGGATTTAACAAAAGCATCTTTGCACCGTGAATGTGTAGCTTTCTAAATATTCACAGTGGGTTGACACAAGATTACAGAGACAAAGCATCAGGGTGAGCCACTCGAAATGCTTCGTGGTGGAAGGAAAATGTGTGGTTATACTGAGCCGTGACCAGCATTTCTTGAGATGGGTAACTAAACACAGGTAATATAATATAATATCTGCTTGTGGCCCTGTTTGGTGTGGATATCTGTCCTGCAGGAAATAGGAATTCAGGTGAACATTATCAAACTGACCTTGGCAAGTGACACCACTACTGAGGTGCAGTGAAATTCAGCCAGATGTCTGCAAGTGAGAAATAACATCTCTCTAAACCACTCATTATTTCCAGTGACTTAGACAGAAGAAGAAATTGTGCTTAACTAGAACATAAAGATTGATTGTCGGGCAAGTTATGACAATGAGTTGTCTGTAATAGCTTTGTCAAACCAATGTGTTTCAAGACCATCCCCCCACCAAGAACCCAAGTCCATCAACTTGCATTGTGTGTGTTCTTTTTTTTTTCTTACAGTGACTTTAACAACTGTCTTTATAACACTTTTTTAGCTGAGTGACAAGGAGGAAAGTAAATCGAGACAGCTCAGTGTGATGCTTTCTATCTGTCAAAGAAAATGGTGCTTTTGCTAC